TGGTTATGTACGTGTCCTGTTAGGCTCTGGTTTAGGTGGAGGCAACCGTTCCCCTGTCGGCTACATGTGCTACATATTTGTAGTGTTCGTCGCGCTGTGTCTCTCAGAAAATGCAGATCCTGCATGCACGAGTGCCATCCATGGTCACAGCCAACAACCAAAACCTCACCGATCTACTCAACCGATGCTAGTCGTTGAATAGCTGCTTTTTGCGGTGATAGCTAGTGTTTCTAGGGTTTTTAGGGTCCTTGAAACCCTAAACGCCTAGAAAAGGCTACACACGGCTGACTGCAGCATTTCGTGCATTATTCGTGCATGTATTTGGTTATGTACGTGTCCTGTTAGGCTCTGGTTTAGGTGGAGGCAACCGTTCCCCTGTCGGCTACATGTGCTACATATTTGTAGTGTTCGTCGCGCTGTGTCTCTCAGAAAATGCAGATCCTGCATGCACGAGTGCCATCCATGGTCACAGCCAACAACCAAAACTTCACCGATCTACTCAACCGATGCTAGTCGTTGAATAGCTGCTTTTTGCGGTGATAGCTAGTGTTTCTAGGGTTTTTAGGGTCCTTGAAACCCTAAACGCCTAGAAAAGGCTACACACGGCTGACTGCAGCATTTCGTGTATTACGAGTACGTGTCCAACGGCAGGGACCAGCAACAGGCACAAGCAAGGGATGAATAATTCCATGCTGCCGCCTTCGTGTTGCTGCTGTGCTGTCCCGGCATGCATGTTCTGGCTAGCTACGACCAAATACCCCATGTACACATGCACCAACGTTTACACGTACACACACATACATACACGCACACGTACACACCAGGATGGATCATGTTATGAAAAAGCCAGAGCGGATATGTCCCGCGCAAGAGCGATGTGCTGCTCATGTCGAGTTTTGATCTCGAGACCTCCCGCTTACTAAACGGGTGCTCTTCCACTGAGCTACACGAGCGGTTGTGGGTGGAGGGTGTCGAACCCTCGACCTTAGGATAGTCCAAGTCACAGCACGATAACAGCTATGAGACCTACGCGCTAACCACTGCGCCACACCCACACAGACATGCAGCTTCGCGCGTGGCAAGAATTTGCCGTACACCGTACACCGTACACGTACAAATCGTACAGGACGTGCGTACACACGCACCCCCGACGATTGGGCCAAATACGTATACACCACATCTACAGCCAACGCATGCCCGCCTCATTAGCTCTTTATTTTTCCCGGGCATGTGGCCAGGAAGTGTATATCTGTGTGACCATACATATCTGTGTGACCATACACATCTGTGTGACCATGCATATCTGTGTGACCATACATACCTGCAGGCGGCTGGCAGAGGTTAAGGCCTGACTTCTGCTCCCAGTTGACCCAGTCGACCCGGGTTCAAATCCGCCTGCCGGCTCCTCGGGTGTTTGAGGATTGATGAAATGGGAGGTGGCCCCCCATCTTATGGACGGTGTAGGACGTGATAATATCAACTTGCGAGCTGACCAGGAACTAAGTTGATGCGCCGTTGATCCGCTAGATTTGGTTGGATGCTGGTGGTGAGTTGCCGAACTCAACGAATACATTCTGAAGTCGGATGGGGTGACGGATTAGGATGCCCCTCTAGCAGGGGAGAGCAGGGACTGCCCCGGGAAAGGGGGCCGCTGGCGAAGTTAACCACCCTGTAACAACATACATACCTGCTTGCCGATAGCGCGACGTGACGCGCAATCTGTGGTGGTGTAAGGGGACTTCAACAAGTATGAATGTAAATGCCTGGCTGATTATAATCACTCGCCTGGCTGATTCCTTGTGGCTTGTGGCTTTTGGGTGGTGGGTGCTATCCTTACGCAGCCTTGGCTTGAACGAAAGCACATGTACGAGAGGGATGCAGCACAATGATTCTGATGGCAACGTTTCGCTGGCTGCTGGTGCAGCAGCCGCTAGCATGGCCACGACAACAATGAACTGGGGGCTGGTCCAGGCATGTGCAGCGGCGGCAGCACTGGTGGCAATAAAATTCACCCCTGTTAGGCCCGGATGTCGGCACCCACTTGCATCTCACTGGCCACTAGTCGGTCGCTTCACGTTGCACCTGGCAGCAGTCTTGGATATTGGCACGTCAATGCGGTTGTGATTGGCTGCTTGCTGCGTGCATGTATTTGGTTATGTACGTGTCCTGTTAGGCTCTGGTTTAGGTGGAGGCAACCGTTCCCCTGTCGGCTACATGTGCTACATATTTGTAGTGTTCGTCGCGCTGTGTCTCTCAGAAAATGCAGATCCTGCATGCACGAGTGCCATCCATGGTCACAGCCAACAACCAAAACCTCACCGATCTACTCAACCGATGCTAGTCGTTGAATAGCTGCTTTTTGCGGTGATAGCTAGTGTTTCTAGGGTTTTTAGGGTCCTTGAAACCCTAAACGCCTAGAAAAGGCTACACACGGCTGACTGCAGCATTTCGTGTATTACGAGTACGTGTCCAACGGCAGGGACCAGCAACAGGCACAAGCAAGGGATGAATAATTCCATGCTGCCGCCTTCGTGTTGCTGCTGTGCTGTCCCGGCATGCATGTTCTGGCTAGCTACGACCAAATACCCCATGTACACATGCACCAACGTTTACACGTACACACACATACATACACGCACACGTACACACCAGGATGGATCATGTTATGAAAAAGCCAGAGCGGATATGTCCCGCGCAAGAGCGATGTGCTGCTCATGTCGAGTTTTGATCTCGAGACCTCCCGCTTACTAAATGGGTGCTCTTCCACTGAGCTACACGAGCGGTTGTGGGTGGAGGGTGTCGAACCCTCGACCTCGCGGGTCGGGGCCCGGAGAGGCCGGGGGCAGCAGCCCCGTGGTGTTTGGGAGCCGACACGAGTGTTAACTCGCGGGTCGGGGCCCGGAGAGGCCGGGGGCAGCAGCCCCGTGGTGTTTGGGAGCCGACACGAGTGTTAACTCGCGGGTCGGGGCCCGGAGAGGCCGGGGGCAGCGGCCCCATAGCGTGGAAGCGTGTTGTTGACGTTCCTTGTGGCTGTAGCCTTGTGCGGNGTTGGGTGGCTAAGGGCACGGC